CCCCCCCCCCCCCCCCAATCCATGTTATCTTTGATTTTATCATCCTAACAGCAATGAACAACAACAACAATAACAATAATAATAATGTAAGGAAAAAATATGTTGCAGCCGGGTTCACATATCTAAGGCAACGCTAGATTGCCTCAATGACGTCTATGAGGTGGAGCCTGGACTTGGGGAGACGAGAGACAATTACGTGAAGGTGAGAAATCGCAGTATAGCTCTTGTATCTGACAGCATCAGTAAATAATGATTATCAGTGAGAATCATTTATTGTTATTGCTGTACAGGATCATGGAGTAGAAACGTACCTCATCAAACAAGTAGAACCGCTGCATCCACGTCGACGCGTTTATCACCGCTTCTCCAGGCCACGTCTCTGGTCAGTCGATGAGAGGGCTGGCACCTTGGTCACCCTGTCATCCGCAAACAACAACTCGTCTACGGCCACCGTCGTCACGGCCACTCAACACCAGGGGTCGGGCGGAGGCCCCGCATCTCTCGGTTTCATAGAGGAAGAGACGACCACCGACTGGCAACCAGAGATTCCCTTCGAGAATGTACGTTTTCGCTGAAACACTGTGCGTGTTGTTAAAATGCGAGCGCTAGGTTCTGCCTCGAGTGTGGAATTTCAACACGAAGATGGTTTAACTATGACAAATGTTACTCTTAGTCACAGTAACAGTTTCTTTCTACCGCAGCTTATGACCAGCTGGTAGATCAGAAAATTTCTTGTTGTGAAATCCAAAAGTTCATCTGTATTATCACAGAAGTTACCAGTGGACCTTACCTTGAGCAACCTCAATTTATTTTCCATCTTGAGTAGCCTATTTCTAGAGAATATCTGTGTTGTCACTAAACGTCACTTCTCAGGAGAAGATGAAACAGCATATATATGTATTCCGTAACATACGTAACTCAGTATCTCATTGTTTCAATGTGCTTCAGGGATGTGACTCAGTTTCTGATAGTTCCTTTGATAAGGAGGATTTGATGATGCACTTATTTAATTTTGAACAAATTTTTTACACCACAGATATTATCCTCACATCATTGCTTGGCTGCCCATGGTTTCCTTTTGTAAACTTTGTGTCCATTCATTCTTCCTGCTCCTGGTTTAATCACACCTAAGTTCAAAATATGAAGCTTGTTGTTGTTTAATTTCGTCTTTCTTCAGCCACTTCAGTTTGTTTACTGTACCGCATTCTTTCTGTCTGTTTAGTTGAATTCTGGGGGTGCAATTGACTTGGAAGAAGATCCTTTCCAGGATGATGAAGAAGTCGTTAATGGTGGGGAAGTAGCGGGTGATAAGGCTGTAGCACGTGGCCTGTCCATGGCAGAGCAGGTGGATGAGATAATTGACCACAGTATTGAAATCGAGAGCAACAAACGTATGCGTAATGCCAACCTCAACGCGTGGACCCTGCGCTTCCACGATGTTGCCACCGAGAATAAGGTGAAGACATACGTCAGTTTTGTGTTGTATTAGCACTAAAACTAACTAAGTCCATGGAACAGCTTTGAGAAGCTCACAGTCGTGCAGCAGGTCAGGAAATTCTCTTTCTTTCGTAGGAGCGCGTTGATTTTAATCGCATGAAGCAGTCTTACTTTCTGATGGTATCAATCTAATCTGACAGAATCTTCCTGAAGAAGGATGTGAATAAAATATTGTTTGATTAAAACTAGGCATAACTAGTGGAGTCGGTTGAAGGTTGTGTTCATGTCTTAAATAATTTCGGTGTGTTGAAAAGTGCCAGGATTGTAACAGAATGGTGTGTTGTTCTGTCTACAGTTCTGCCAACTGCGTGAGGATATGTTCAAGTCAAATATGCTGTGCTGTTTCATCATCTGGCTGTTTGTACTCACCTGCCAGCTCATCATTTTGCCTCGGTATGAGTAAATTATCCCCACTGCTGGCCCAGGTTTAGGATTGTTTCCAGGAAACAATTATCTTTTTGTGTACTTAATAAAATGACTGAAAAATTAGAGATAAGTAGGAGCCAGCCCTGAGGGTTTGAAGCAAAGGCCTGGGCCTGAGAGAGATGAACTCGCGTAACTAGAAGCATTTATTTGTGTAAAATTCAGAATGACGTATCATTTTAGTCTTTCATTTATTGACTTTATACATTCTTTCAGTAAAACTCGGTATGCTTAGGACTGTATTGCATTTCGTGTCGATAATAATATGCCACTGCACGTGAAAAGTAATTTAGGAGAAATTTCTGTCATTTTGAAAGAACTTCATGTTTAATGCAAGAGGTGTCTGCACAGGTTCCTTAATGTATTCGCAGGCAATAAGTTCTTCCAGGTTATCTGATTTTTTTTCTTCATAAATCACGTTTTACAACAACCCAAAGCCTTAACTAATGATGAACAAATGGTGTCATTTGTAGGTGGACAATTCTGGTTGTGACGATGGCAGTTACGACCATCTTGCTGGCAGTAGCACTGGTGATGGTGATGGCAGAAGAATTTCACCAGCTACCAGAGACACTGCAGACAATGTCCAGTGTCCTTATGCATCATCGTAACCGTCGGACTGCCTTCATCTGCTGTGTACTTGTCCTTGTGTCAGTTGCCTCTTCAGTCAGTCTGGTAAGTCTTGGCAAGAAATTTTAAGTAATAGAACTGAATGATCAGTTGGTCGGGTCCCCTCGTGGTGGTCTCTGGTTTTGGTCGAATGACTCTCATTGTTTTGGGTTCAGAAGAACTGCTTCAGCAGTAACACTGGAAAAATCATTAAACATTCTTACAATATTGATTAGTTATTTTGGGTTAATTTGTACAAGTGAAAGTTCAGATTGTGACCAGTTTATGGACACTGAGTATTTCTGGTCCACCAGAAGATTTTATGTTTGTGTTCTGTCATTTGTTTTTGCAGTAGCTCTGACTATATAATGTATTGATCATCCTTCTCTCGCAGGTGCTATGTCCAAAACCCGTCGGCACTCCAACTGAGCCAGAAACAAACAACAGCACGAGGTCTGCCTCTTCAC